TGTGTGTGTGTGTGTGTGTGTGTGTGTGTGTGTGTGTGTGCAGAAGACCTGCCTCCACTTCTCGAGCGGTCAGCGATTCTACTTACCGCCTTCTTCAGGCGGATGAGACCGCTGTGCCGCATCATTTACCTATCGATGATGGAGGGCAACTGGCGCCGCAGCGCACTCTGCAATCGACAAGTCGTTGGGAATCTTGATTGACATCGTGTTTTCCTGCACTAAATGTGCTCACATTTGGCGGGTGAATCTTCCCTGAAAGCTGCTACTGTACCCTCGTAGTTGTACTTCGTCTTTTCCACATTTGTCGGAGAGTGAAGGAGCGAGGCCCTTTGCCACGACATCGGATTCCATCGCTACCAGCAGTCGATGGCGGCTTCATGAGACCGGACGTATCCCTTCTCGCGAAGATTCAGACGCCGTCCAGGTACGATGCACTTCACGAGCAATGCACGTGCGATGGACTTTACGAGGCCGTCCACGTACGATGCACCTCACCTCCGCGTACGGCTCGATGAGAGACACAGATCGAGTTTCTTGAGAGAAGTTTACGAGGCCGTCCACGTACGATGCACCTCACCTCCGCGTACGGCTCGATGAGAGACACNCGATGAGAGACACAGATCGAGTTTCTTGAGAGAAGTTTACGAGGCCGTCCACGTACGATGCACCTCACCTCCGCGTACGGCTCGATGAGAGACACGAGCTCGAGTTTCTTGAGAGAAGTTTGGGCCTCGGTGGACACCACTACAAAACCCTTACATGTAAGGTTTTCATCGTTCCACCCTTCCCTAATCACGAAGAAAAAGAAGTCGAACTTGTTTCCACATTCGCTTCCACATTCGCGGCCGTAAGTGCGGGCCCTACAAAAGTAAGGGCTCCGCAGCCAAAACAGACCTTGATGTAAGCACGCCCGTGGAGGTGACTTGAAAGTAGGGGGTGGCACCCTTACATCCATGAAAAAAGCATTTTTATTCTTTATTTTTTTCAAAGTCAGGTCTGGCTTTGGCATTCCTGGTCCAACGGCAGTGTTGTCCGGTAGACCGCAGGACTGCAGTCCCACGGCAACCTCCAACGGCCGTGCGGTTCCCCGCCTGTGCCCTCGCAGTCCCTCCGTTTCGGCTGGCATTTGGAGGTGACCGTTGCTGGGGTCCGTGTGGAGGCGGTCGTTGGCGATCTTAGGTTCGAATTTGAACGCAGCTTGTCCACGACGCCCGTCAGCACTGCCGCCCCTCCGCTGTCGTACTTTCCTATGATCTTGTATATTGCAGTCCTCTGCCTTCCATGCCTTGTCCTGATGTAAGTTGACAACTCTGTTCCTTGTCCTTTGCTTGAGGAGCGCATGGCTGACATGGTGAGGAAGACAGCTGCGTCTCCATGTGCCGACAGACCGTGAGGACGGCTCTGGCGACCATTGTCTTCTCACGGGGTGACAGTCTTCTCATCGCCGCCTCATCCCTCCAGCCGCCGTCCATAGCTGAACTCCCTTGCAAAAACACGCCACACGGTAGTCAAGCAAGGCCGTGTGTGGTGCCGCAATGGTAGAGTATTGGTGCATGCAACGTCAAAAATGCGCACGCAAGGACTCTAGAATGCAAGGTGTGCGAAGCAAACTAGTGGCACAGAATTTGAATTCAAATGGTGAGGGTCCATGCGCACGTTCTCCTCATCGGCGGATGACATCACGCGCCCATATCACGGCCCCGCCTGGCTTCGTGATATGTAGTGGTGTCGAACTAGGCCCTTTGTACGTCGATACATGCATGTCATCCTTGCTAGTAGGCTAGCCTTTCAAATTTGTGGGCCCGATGGCCAAGTCCCACTAGGGTAGCAGCGTTGAACTAGTTCAACATCAGGTTTTCAACCACATGCGACGTTGGCTGACATCTGTGAGGGCAGGACGTTTTTTTTTTTTTTTTTTTTTTTTCAACCACCTGTACCTTCGAGCCTATTTCTGCCGACCCTGAATTACAGTGCGTGCCGAATTTGTCGAGCTTGTGTCCCGCTGTGAGGGCAGGACTTGTGGCCTACTCGTCCTCCGGTACGGTCCAACGAACGGACACACGTTTGGGCGGGGTCCCTGTGGTTGGTGGTATGTTTCGAGGCCTGTGTTTTTTTGTTTTTTTTTTAATATATTTTTTCCCCTCTAAGGGGAGTGTCGGTTCGCTGGTGACCGGTAGCGCGGATTGGAGGGCGGTGGTTGTCCGCACCTTGGTCGATGGACGGGCGATGACCTTTGCCATCGCCAGCGTCGCGTCCCGACCTCCAATTGTGTGTGTGTGTGTGTG